CTCTAAGATATCCTGGCGTCCTCCGCCGTTCTCTTTAATCATTTGTTTAGAGATGTTAAATGTAAGTAGAGTTGTCGGCATTACTATGATGATCGAGATACGCGGTAGCGTATCGGCCATGAAAAGTTTTGACCGACTGAGCAAAACATCAGGCCGAGCGCACCGCGTATCTATACACGACAGAACTTCCCCCTCCACGACCGCTAAATGATTTATGTTCGGTCTAATGAAAACGGGATGACAAATCGGGAAAGTGTCGTTAGTTACATTATATAAATCGCCTATCAGCTTTTCAACGGTGTAATTATGGTATTTTTTGGATTAACAGTAAAAAAGATACGCACATAGCAAGCTGCTGATATTCACATTCTCGCGATTCACATTATAAAGTCGGAGAATCAAGTTGTAACGTTGGCCGCCCCGGTCCAACTGAGCTTCATATCCAACGTTGAAGTGTTGCCACCAGTGCATTTGAATGTGGGTTGTGATGTTGTTATGGGGAACCACGGGAAATATTCTTCTCGTTAAATCACATATTAAAATGAAATGGAAAATCGACTCGGTGTTCTATTTTGTTTTCTCTCGTCGACAATTCGAATTTCAGCCCGCCATATCTATATTCATATGCGCACCTCGGACATAAAGGTAGTTTATGCACTGTTTGTGAGGTTATCGGTTTATGTTTGGAATGTGACAAAAGTGAGATGTGTCGAAAATATTGTGTGATCAAGTGTTAAATGTCCGTGAATTGTTAAATTCGAAAAGAAAATATTTATTTTTATCCGAGTGTAATAGAAAATGTTTTCATTCCATGGAAAAAAATTCTCTAAATTAAATGACAGTGAAATGCGAACAATTTTGTGATTATTTAGGAAAAATTAGTAGGAGACAGCGGGATTAAATGGACACTTGGAACCCTTTTCAAAATGTTGATGTCTTATTGAAGTGTTGATGAAATGGAATTTTTTTTTTGATTAAAAAAAAGACGCGGAGTTTTTCAATTCACTGTCTGTATCAATCTAATTCTCCATCCTTTGATCCGCGCCAAGGACATTGGTCCTGCTCCTACTGATTTTTTATTTCATGGAGAATTTTTTTAGAATACTTATTCCATTGAGAACTATTTTTCTTATAGAAACCTGATTGTGCACCATCACCAATTATTCAAAATTCCAGATTTGGCTTCCTTTTTTATTTCTATGTATTTTTCAAAAACTTCGACTTCCCAGTTGGAATCAAACAAAACTTTTTCTTGGCCCAGTTTTTTACAAAAATATTTATTTTTCTGTTTTTAGGTATGGGTTGTACATGAAGAAGGATTTTTCTTTGTACGGGTTCTTTTCAATGGAATGGGTGGGGATTCATCATCTTCGAACGAGATTTTTTCATATAATTACGATCAAACAAGCCCGCCGAAGGCCAATTATATTCAGCGTCTCGTTCTCGATGATGAATAATTGTAAATTCAGCACTGACGATAAATCTTATTTTGTTAATACTTGTCTTTATTGAAAAAAATTTGTTTACAAAATAAAAACAACGTACATGCAATTCACATTCGTATTATCATTAGTTCTTTAATATGGTTAACGCAAAATTTTCTGTGATAGCCAGAGGTTTATTATAAAATTTGGCGAATACTTGAGAATTTTGTGACCATCCTGCTGTACGTCTAAAAGTATCAATACTAACTCCTTTTCGATAAACTGCAGAAACAGCAGCATGACGTGTGCTATACGCAGAGAACTTAGCGGTATCTACACCCGCTCTACTCAGTGTAGACTTTATCCAATGGCTCAGCGTTTTCGCTGATGCTCTTTCAAAGGGCTTGCGAGTATAATCGAATAAATTCTTATTATCCTTTGGTCTGAGATCACTGGTAATGCGTAAATATTCTTTGATGAATAAAGCGATATATAACTCCGGCTTTTCATTAAAAAATGGTAATACGAGTTCAGGATGGAAACTATTGGGCTTTGACGTTTTTAACAAATCAGGGATTTTCATTTTTATTCCTGTGTTGGAGGACTCTATATTTTCGATATTTATAACCGCCAGGGTTTGCAATCTATGGGAAGTGGTCAAAGCCAGAAGAGTAACTACTTTTTCCGTGGCCACTTTGAATGATAATTGGGAGAGGGGTTGAAGATCTTTTAAATAATCGAACACTGGCGCAGGGTCCTAAGTTGAGGCATATTTCGGCTTACTAGGTTTCTTCCTATAAATGCCGTTCAAAAAACGAGAAATTAACCCATCTGTATGAATATCTTTGGATGAAATCAAGGAGATCGTAGAGTGGGCAGTATTCAAACCTGCATAACTTACTCCATTTTGGAATTTCTCAGAGAGAAATTTGAGAACGTCTGTTGTATTTGAATGATATGGATTGAGGTTGCATTTTAAACAGAAATCTCTCCATGGACGTAAGGCACTTTGGTACTGTTTCATTGTCGATGAGGGAATTGAATCGACTAAGATTTCTGCTGTCTTCGTCAACTCCTTTTTTCAGGAACGCTGCCCGGATAAAACTCCGACTATTAAAAGATAGTTTTGCCACCAGTGGATGGATCTTCTCCCTGCAAGGTGATAACAGATTTTTTCTTGGTTCTAATATCAAGGGTGGAGCAGTTAAAAGGGACCTGAACAGCGGGTACCACGGTTGCGTGGGCCAATTCGGTGCTGCTACTATTCCTTCTGCTTTGTGTTGTGAAATTTTTTGTAAAGTTCTCAAAACTAGCGAAAAGGTTGGAAAAGTATTGAATTTTTCAGCCTTCCATGGAATGGTAAAAGCATCAACTGCGAAAGTCCCAGGATTAGGGAATCTTGAGCAAAATCTCCCGCATTTTTTGTTTGATTCTGACGCAAACTAATCAATGGAGAATGGGCCAAATTTCTTGGAAATTTCATTGAACGATTTTTTGTTCAATTCCCATTCGGTATCAATATTCGAGATTCTAGAGGCTCGATCTGCTTCTACATTCTTTTTCGAAGCTATGTATGAGGCAAACACCCACCAGTTCCTATTCTCACACCAGCTCCAGATCTCACGGGCTAACTCGCTCAGGTGAGGAAATTGAACCCCGCCTGTTCTGTTAATATATGAGATAGCCGTGGTATTGTCAACCCTCAAAAGGATCTCGCAATTTGAGAGTTCAGATGCAAAATTTTTTAATGCATGGAACACCGGTAATTCAACATAATTGACGCTAAACTGTTTGTATTCGAAAACACAAAAAAGAATAACTTCGCTTTACGCACGAGAATTCATTTGACGCACGATCGTGAACTTTGCGCACGCCGTGCAGAAAACAACCGCTATACACACACTAAACCGTTTCGAAAAGTGCACTTTTGATGCATATATCACAAAAAGGTCATTACAAGAATCTCTCTATCTCCTTTACATTTCGAAATATAGTCCAAAAACTAATTTTCAGATTTGAGTGATACATTTTGTTTCATGCCTTCACCTCTGAATTAAGTTCTGAACTGGATTATGATATTCAGGAGATTCAATTTCTACTAATCAATGCTCAATAAATCATAAAAATGAGTTATTTTCCAGGATTTTATTTATTTTTCGAAATGAGTACATCAATTGGGTTCTATCATAGATTATACGAGACTTTTTTTTCACCCAACTGAATTCGATGAACTCCCTCTTCCATTGTTCATAATTTATTGAAACTCCACGTTACAATCCCTATTATCTTTTACCAACGATATACCTGTTGATACCAACATTGTATCCGTTTCAAAAAATGAATAAAATCCAGGAAAATGACCTTCATTTTTATGATTTATTAAGCATTGATTAGTCGAAATAAGATCTCCTAAATATCATAACTCAGCATATAACTCAATTCAGAGGTGAAAACAAAACAAGATGTATCACTCAAATCTAAAAGAATGCAAAGAAGATGGAGGAATTTTAGTTATAACCTTTTTGTAGATCTCATCCTTTCCTACAAGAAAGGTTCTTACCAAGAAATGGATGTTTTGCTTCAATCCTGGGATATTGCAATAAAACTAATTGGCAACTAAATCTGGAGATAATTTTTCAATGGACATCTCTGAATATACAGTAGATGGAAAAATTTTTATAAGAGCTTTTTTGTAGATCTCATTCAAAAGATCTATACTAAAAATTCTCTATGCCCTTCAGATTTCGAGCTATTTCCAAAACACAATTTTTTTGGGTGGACAAAATTATGTTTTTCTCTGTATTTCCCACTGAGTTTGTGAGAGCACCAAAAATGAAGGCATATTTTTGATAGGAAATTATCTGAACTTTCCGATGAAAAAAGAAAAAAAAGAAAAAAGGGCCAGGAACGCTCCGAAATTACCGTTTGAAACTTTTTTTTTGAGCTTTCCATGCGTAAAAAACGGTAGCGAAGCTACTTATTTATCGTTCGAATTATTTCACTATATTGTATTCGCACCGGCTTAGCAGCCGAATACCTGACTACGTCACCTCGTGACGATTCGTCATATTTCGGGCACCCTCGATCGGATGATCTAATTGCCTATATCGTCGCGAGAGACAGATTCGTTATAGCTCTCAAGGTGTAAACATCGACACATTCGCTGTGAATAAATTCCATTCGATTTCTACTGTTATAACGCGTGTTATAATTTCATCAACCCGTCCAACATTCCCGAGTATCCCACAAGTGGTGACCCCGACGTGATCCTTTTAACGTAATCAATAAAATTATCATTTTAACGTGTTCAGAGTGAAATAGTTGCCGTTAAAATTAAAGTAATTTTCGATCGCGTGGTCTTCGTGGATCTTTCGNTTTCGAGAAGCGTTGGATTTTTCGACACGTGCTCGGTAGCGTTATATCGTTCAACGCGCTTGTGTTACCGCGTGTGATATTTTGTGCATCGTGGTGCATCGCTGAGCACCCAGAGACGTTGTGCTGCACCGTGAAAATTATCACGAACAATTTCGCCGTGATTAGTGCACTTTTAAACGATTTCAGTGATTTTTCAGCAAAATGCCTGACGAGCCCGACACAACACAGGCATTGAGACGCCTCGTGGTTCGACCGGCACCATTTTCTGCCGAACGCCCGGAGCTTTGGTTTGCTCAACTCGAAGGGCAATTTCACCTCGCAGGTATCGAATATGAACTCGACAAATTCCACATGGCTGCCGTCCACCTCGACACGCATGCCGCAGCTGAGGTTCAGGACATCATACTGCATCCACCTGCTCAAACTCCATATAAGGCATTAAGAGAAGCCCTCGTGGAGAGACTCACGGCTTCACAGGAGGCAAGACTACACCAACTCCTGGACAAAGAGGTTCTCGGTGATCGTAAGCCCTCACAATTTTTAAGACATTTAAAATCTCTTGTCGACAATATTCCAGAAAATATTCTGAAAACAAAATGGCTGTCACGCTTGCCAGCAAATACTCAATCAATTTTAGCGACGCAAGCAGATTCCACACTGGACAAAATGGCGACATTGGCCGACAAATTAATGGAAATATCGTCTCCACCAATTATTAACGCCATTTCTCCAGGCGCTGATCCAGCCGTTGCCGCCCTGGAACAGAGATTTTCGCGTCTCGAACTTTGCATTTCTGAACTAGCGAACGCCATAAAAAACGAACGCTCCCGCTCTCACTCACGTTCCAAGTCTCGTTCAAGGCCTCGTTCAAGGTCATGCAGTCAAAGATACGAAAAATGCTGGTATCATTTCAAATTTGGTGATCAAGCCACTCGATGCAGGCCTCCTTGTTCAATGTCGACGGGAAACGAACCGTCGGATCGTTAGCGGCGGTAAACGATCCAATCTTCCGCTCACACCGCCTATTCGTGTCGGAAATTAATACCAAAGTCAAATATTTAATCGATACCGGCGCGGATTTGTGCGTATATCCACGAACGCTTTTCCCTGGCAAAAATAAGGCAACGGAGTACATGTTGTACGCAGCAAATGGCACACGGATACACACATACGGCTGTACTGTCCTCTCGCTCAATTTCGGCCTCAGAAGGGATTTTTCCTGGCGTTTCACTATTGCGGATGTCGAAAAGCCAATTATCGGCGCAGATTTTCTCGCGCATTTTGGACTTTTACCTGATTTAAAGAACAATTGTCTATTAGATTCAGCAACCGGTTTATCGACGCGATGTATAGCGTCATTATCGAATATCGTTTCAACAATTAAAGTTTACCGGCCGACCGAATCGTCTTGGACAGATCTACTTGCCGAATTTCCGTCAATAACTAAACCGGATGGAAATTTTCAATTGACAAAACACACAACGGTCCATCATATCGCAACAACGCCCGGACCTCCTGTATCGAGTAAAGCTCGTCGTCTCGCCCCAGACAAATTAACGATCGCACAACAGGAATTTCAGAAAATGATGAAGCTAGGTATCGCTCGTCGTTCAAAGAGCCCCTGGTCTTCACCGCTACACCTGGTGCCCAAGAAATCTGGCGATTGGCGACCCTGTGGAGATTATCGTGTACTTAACGCTCGTATGATACCTGATCGATATCCAGTTCGCGTACTAGAAGATTTTACCGCCAATCTCGCAGGCAAAAAGATATTTTCGACCGTCGATCTCGTTCGTGCTTTCAATCAGATTCCTGTCGCACCGGCTGACATCTGCAAAACAGCAATAATTACGCCTTTCGGTTTATTCGAATTTCCATTCATGACGTTTGGACTTCGAAATGCTGCGCAGACATTTCAGCGATTTATCGATGAAGTAACACGAGACCTAGATTTCATTTTTCCGTATATCGACGACATCTTAGTTGCCTCTAAAGACCCCGAAGAGCATAAAAAACACCTTCGTCTCCTATTTCAACGCTTGGCAGAGTATAGAGTTGTCATCAATACCGCCAAATGCCATTTCGGAGAACCAGAAGTCGACTTTCTCGGTTATCGTGTAACGGCAGAAGGAATTCGTCCGCTTCCCGAAAAAGTTGAAGCTATCGTCAAGTTTCCTCGACCAGAGAAAATTAAGAAGTTACGTGAATTTCGAACTGCTGATATACTGATATACTGCTGAAATACTGATCATAAACCGCTGCTGCATGCTTTCAAACAAAATCCTGATAAAGCAAATCCTTGGCAGTTCCATCGCCTTGATTTTATCGGTCAGTTTTCAACAGATATTCAGCAAGTCGCAGGTAAAGATAACGTTGTTGCCGACGCCTTATCGAGAATCGAAGCCATATCCACAGCAATCTCGACGGCCGAACTAGCACAGGCACAAGCAGCAGATGCCGAACTCCAAGAACGTCTGCAAGACCCGAATGGCGTCCTTCAACTACGACCTATCAACATGCCAGAGAGTCCAACTCCAATTTACTGTGACGTCAACGATCAAGTGATTCGTCCCTATGTACCATTACCGCTACGTAAGAGAGTTTTTGACACTCTGCATAGCGTCAGTCATCCAGGGGCTAACGCATCAACTCAGCTGGTTGCTCAACGTTTCGTCTGGCCGAGTTTAAAGAAAGACTGTCGTCTTTGGACTCGTGCATGTCTCGCATGCCAGAAGAATAAAATTTCACGACACGTGGCATCGCCGATTCAAGACTTTCCCGGGGGAAGAACAAGACGCTTCGAACACATTCATGTCGACATCATCGGACCATATGTACCGCCCAGAGGTTACCGTTATTGCCTGACAATAATCGACAGATTTTCACGTTTCCCGGAAGCATTCCCGATTTCCGACATTACCGCTGAGACTGTTGCCGGTGTGCTCTACGCAAACTGGATTTGTCGTTATGGCGTTCCGCTTCGGATCACGACAGATCAAGGGACACAATTCGAGAGCCAACTCTTCAACGCTCTCGCTCGACGTACAGGCAGCAGACATATTCGCACGACGGCGTTTCACCCGCAAGCTAACGGCATGGTGGAACGTCTACATCGCCAAATCAAAGCAGCAATACGGTGTCACGAGAGTCCTCATTGGGTAGATACCCTCCCCACCGTGCTTTTTGGAATTCGTTCAGCGTGGAAAGACGATCTTAACGCCACATCTGCCGATATCGTATTTGGAGAGCCACTTCGATTACCAGGAGAATTTCTCGTTCCTGCTCCGAACAATGGCCTACCGGCAGTAACGATTGCCGACAGACTCAGAAACCACTTCGCTGAGCTTGCTCCAGTTCCCGGCATACGACACGGCCAACGTAAGGTATTCATATTTAAAGAACTCGCCTCATGTTCGCACGTTTTTGTTCGTTTAGATGCTGCTCATCATGCATTTACGCCACCGTACGAAGGACCACATCGTGTCATATCGCGACACGAGAAGCATTTCGTCGTCTGGATCAATGGTCAAGAAACTGTCGTATCCATTGACCGTCTGAAGCCAGTATTTTCCATTGCCGAAGACGAAGCAGCCGACGCTGACTTACCGGATGACGACAACGATTCAGACGACACTCTATTACCGTCGTCAGAACAATCGACCCCTGGTACGACACCAGATGCCTCACCGCAACCTGGACCATCTAGATGCAGATCATCATCTTGGGCTTCATCGAGTGACGCAAGATCATCTTTGGACTCAACTCCTCGACCAGTACGAAAACGCGTCAGGTTCAGTCAATAAACTCACTCAATATTCAA